TATATATATATATATATATATATATATATATATATATATATACTTACATTCGCACATATGTATATAATTACGCAAACATTGCTAATGACGTGTAAACTGTGACTTATTTAATTTAACATTAACACAATTTTAGGAAAATCTATATTTAAAATATAACATTGCGTCTATTGTAAAAGGTTCGTTTCTAAACATCACATGGTATTGCATGGTTTACTTGAAAGATTCGGTGTAATGTCATTCTGCCAAATAACCTTTTCAAAAACAAATGTTGTCAGCCGAACAAAATGATAGTGTGAAATATTTTAATGAAAAATTATTCTGATACGTATTTTCAAGAGATTCTCAATCTACGAACATTTTAATTAGTCAGAAAAAATTTGAATAATCGGTAACACGATAATAACATTATTTAAATCGTATTTTAAAGTTATTTAAAAACAAGCTGTATAGGTTAATTCTTTAATATTTTGTTTCAGTGAAATTACAGAAATACCTAAAGCATTCAAATTTATAATAATTGTTTATTGATCATGTTACATTGCATTATACTATGAAGAGTATATTTTTTTTAATCATTTTGGTAAGATACATTTTCTTAAGTATCTCTATTGTAAATCAAATTAACTTGTTACCTTAATTTAAAACAATAATTTTATTGTAGCAAGTATCTTACGTATTGCCATTGAAGGAAAAGTTGTTACATTACATATCCGACGAAGTTGTTGCAGGTTCTTATAAATATTACAGTTTAACGTACGATGGATTTATCAAAATAATATTAACATCCGAGTAAGTAAACTATGAAATTAATACTTGTCTAACCATTTATATAATACTTGTATGCGGTATATTCGTATCATAGAGAAATTATGTTTACACGAACAAAGTTTTTACATTTTGAATTTCATAGAACTGGCGATGCGGATATATATGCTTCCCAATTTACAACCAAACCAACATACAAGCCTGATCAATATTGTCTTCAATCTGCTACATGTGGCGAGGACATAATTCTTATTCCTGACAGGTATATTATAAACATTGATTGAAAAACATGCAATAAATAAATTTTAATAACAGTTACCAATTTTTAGTTTTAAAAGACCAGTTAGCATAGGAGTTTACGGACATCCATCTCATGAAGTTAGCGAATATATTCTGTTAGTATATGAATCAACAAATACAGAAAATATCTTTTATGATAGGAGGTCGGATGATGTTCATGAGGACTATAATGATAAGGTATCTTTTGTGATGTAAAAGTACATGAGAAATACATAGATAAATTCGGATAATATAATAAATATATAATATAATTTAATTATATTATTTTAGGACCAAACCACATCGATTTCAACATTCATTACGTGGTATCTTTTAGATATACTGCTTCAAATTTTGTTTTGATATATAAAATAGCATAGTAGCCAATTTAATAAATAATCATGCTGGAATACGAGACTCAAATGTTTTTGGAAATACTCCATGAAGATGGCCTCGTTGTTGCTGCAAAGTAATTACTGTTGTTCTCTTTCGCTATCTAGTGTAGCTCTAGTCTAGTTTTCCATGATATTTTACATATAATTTATCATTTTTTCTAGGGGACTGGGTATAGAAATTGTGTTTGCGAATTTGCTAAGAGCACATATCGATCCAGGAAACTTGATCATAGTTCTAGGGACTACACACCACGATGAACAGTATTTTATTGACTTATTAAGAAAATTAGGAGTGAAACAATTACCCCGCAGTGTAACTTCGGAATGTCCTTCCGACGAAAGGTTTAAATTGAACTTGTTTATTTTAAACATACAAATTCGTTTTTTTTATATTTCCCATGGAGTTTGCATTTCTTTATCCAACTTTTGAATTACAGGGAATTGATGTACCTAGAAGGCGGGGCCTTGTTTCTGTCAGGCCCGATCCTTGTGGTAGATTTGTTAAAAAATAGAATTCCGTTAAATTTAGTTACTGGAATTCTTGTATATAGAGCACATAATATTCTAACTTCATATCAAGAGGCATTTGCTCTACGTTTGTATCGTCAACATAATAAAGTATGTACTTAAAAACGAAATAGAATAATGAACTACACTTACAGAATGTGGAATAAAATATCATGATTATTCATTTCATTGAACTCTTCTAGACAGGTTTCATCAAAGCGTTTACTTCCTCTGCATTAGCATTCACTGTTGGATTTATGCGGATAGAAAGAGTAATGAAAGCTTTATTTGTAAAAAAATTATTTCTGTGGCCTCGTTTTCATTCACTTGTAAATAATAGTTTAGGAAAGCACAAGGTAACTATATTATGTAGTCACCGCTTGTACGTTGTAACACGTATCGTATATTATAAATTCTAATAAATCATTCTTTCGCAGCCCGAGGTGATTGAGTTACATGCGAAAATCACACCGAAAATGTTGAATATACAAACTTGTTTATTCGATGTGATGAATTATGTCATAAAAGAATTGAAAAGGCTTAATAAATATGTAAATATACATTTTCATATATTTATTACATCGTACAATGATTTTACAATTTAATTGTAATTCTTTTTTATAGGTGGATTTAGAAGAATTGAACACTGAAAATGCGATTGCTAGAAAGTTTCACAAGCAGTTACAGTCACAGTTAGATCCTATGTGGCATCAGCTTAGTTCAACTACAAAACAATTACTATCCGATTTAAAAACATTAAGAGCTCTCCTCGCGTAAGTATTTATTTATTTACCTCATCGTTAAATAAATGCATTTTCTATTTACTAAAGAATGGTTGTGTATTAAACTGTGCAGTTGTTTGACATACGAGGATTGTGTGTCGTTTTATTCGATGTTGAATCGTTTGCGCACAATGGAATACGCTGTAAAAAACAGTGGTTGGTTAATGTTAGATTCTGTGGATACACTATTCAAAAATGCAAAGGACAGGGTTTACAATGAAAAAACTGGCGGTAAGAGTCTACTAAGCGTTTCTAGTGGAAAGAAAGCTTTTCAACTACTTTTCTTGACACGATAATCATTTTACCATTTTCTGTGCGTAGAATTAAAACCGGAGCCGAATCCTAAATGGATCGCTTTGACAGAAATATTAATGGAAATTCAACATCAAAATAAAGAGAGAAAAGATAAAGAAGATGTTGAAAAAATTCTTATTATAACACACAATCGTAATATATGTTACCAGTTAAGAAATTACTTAACCATGGGCGCCAACGAGTATTTACTTTATGAGGCTTTGAAGAAACTTTCTCATAAAGAGATACAGCAAACAAGGTAAGTAATTAATGGAAAATCAAAAAATTGACAAAACCATAATCCAATCCCCATGCTGAATTATATGAAATTATTTCATTAGTGAAAAAAGTGCTGAAAAAGAATCCTCTTCGGAAGAGAAAAGTAACGATAATACAGACGAGGATGAACAAGACATGTACATGTTAACGTTATCTCAAAATGTTTCTCAAGAAAGTGAACCTACTTCAACGGAAGAGAAAGATAAACACCAAACTTTATTTGAGGAATGCTCACAAGTAATAATTCATATTGAATTATTTAGTAGCGATAAAAATGATAGAATTTCATATGATTAAATTAGAGTATAATATTCCGTAGATGGGAGAATTAGATTTAACGAATATAACAACGGATACACCTATCATTTTAATACAATCTTTGAAGAAAGCCGGAGACCCGATGTCTTTACAACGTACTTTGGCAGAACATATGCCAAGAAATATTATTATGTACGTGGCTGATATTTCCGCTGTGCGGCAAATCGAAGTGCGTATAAAGAACAATTGAAAAATTTCCCCAATTAAGAACAAAGAGTAATTATGCGTGTAAACCAATATTATTCCTTAGGTTTATCAAAATAGTAACCCGTCGATAGATTTGAAAGTATACTTTTTAATCTATGGAGGTTCTGCGGAAGAACAAGAATATCTTACGTCGCTTAGGCAAGAGAAAGAAGCATTTCACACATTGATCAATGCAAAAACTGTAATATCACTATATATCACTTGCATCGATCTGTTCATTTCCTCCATTTGTCTTCGCTGTACCATGTCTTCATCTCGTTTCAGACGATGGTTTTCCCTGACGAGCAAGATTACTTGAATCTTGCGGTGCAGACAAATTCGGAAACTGAAGAGAATACGCGTAAAGGTGGATTACCTTCGACTGAAGTTGTTAACACCGTAATAGTCGATATGCGGGAATTCAGAAGTGAACTTCCTGCTATACTTCATACGAGAGGCATCAAAATAGAACCTGTAACATTACAGGTATATGAGAAGGATTCATGATGTTTCATTTGAATGATTTTCAAAGTCAAACTCTATTGAATTCCTATCTTTTTATTTGCGATTTATAGGTTGGCGATTACATTCTGTCCCCAGAAATGTGCGTAGAAAGGAAAAGTATTTCTGATTTAATTGGCTCATTAAATAGCGGAAGATTATACAACCAGGCTGTTTCCATGACGAGACATTACACCAAACCAATGCTTTTAATAGAATTTGATCCAAACAAACCATTTTGTTTTCAGGTAAATACGTTATTTTCTTGTTGCAAATACGAAATATTTTGAATTCATCAAAGACAAAAAAAAAGAAAGGAATTTCGTAATTACAGGGACATTATTATGCTAGTAAAGATGTACAAAACATGTTTATAACTTCTAAACTACAACTGCTGACTTTACATTTTCCACGATTAAAGCTTGTATGGTCGCCTGGTCCTCACGCAACAGCGCAATTATTTGAAGAATTGAAGGTAATACGGTTAGAATTCTCGCAAAATAATATACGGTTAATTTCGTTTCTGTTAATTGTGAATGAAAAATCGTAGCTAGGAAAATGCCAACCAGATGCAATTAAAGCTGCCCAGATTGGAATCGAGGATAGTAAGCATATGGAACTAGAAAAATTTAACGCCCGTATTCAAGATTTTATCGCTAGATTACCAGGAGTAACTACCAAAAATTTATATTCAATTTTGAACAATGGACAATCGTTAGATCATCTTAACAAACTTACAAAAGTATGTGTTCCAGCTAACGGTACACGTATGTAACGATACATCGATCTTTTCATCTTTCTATAGAAGTCTTGTTTATTTTCGTAGGAAGAACTTACGGAGATGATAGGGAACAAGAATGAAGCGCGAATGTTGTACAGTGCTCTTCACGAGAAAAGTTCTCCTCCCGAAGAAAAATCGAAGGGTTCCGGTAAAAAGACAACGTCTAGCAGAGGGCGTGGAAAAAGACTGTTTTCTAAGATCAAGCAATGATACGATACATTTCCCTTAAAGGTATTAGTTATTCAAGTTATACTTTACACTTATTTATAATTTGTAGGCAGTGTGCACTATTTAGAAAGTTATGTGATATCAAAAATATTTTGCGTGTACAAGTCTTCATAAAAAATAAATAATGTTTTCTATGAATTACAATTGTTGGTACAAAGTTAAAATGGGATAGTGAAACTATAAAGCGTAACACATTTATACATTAATGTAAAATACAGTGTTATTCTCAGTTTTTCCTTTGTGTTTCATTGCTCTTGCACGGCGGAAGATCTCATTAGATACAGTATGCTCTCGTTTAAGATAACTTGCAATAATGATATACAATTTTCCGAAATCAGTAAGCCGGTTTCGATTTGCTTTGTCTGAATTATGCTGCAAATGCAAAATAACAAATGTACTTGCGTGCAAAGATATACGCTTTTCAGTTTCGGGTTATTCAGAAAATTAGTTAACGTACTTAGCAATATCCAAGTTATTACATTTCTGGGCAATTTCGATTTTTCCGACAGCTTTTAATGATATTTCATGTGCAATTTCTAATATTTTGTGTATAATTTCACGAGTGCTGGTCGATATGTGTTTCAAACAAAACTAAAAAGTAATGTATTTAATAGATATTGTTATCTCTCATTTCTGTCACAAATCTACACATTATTTTTACGTCAACCCACTTTGTTGTCTTTATAGCAAAATATATAAGCCAGAATTATTTTAGAAATTTCCGAAATGAACATTGATTTTTCTTCTGTGCCCATTTCACTTGGATGAAATTGCAGTAACAACCGACGAAGCATAGCTTCAGTTGTACTTTCATAGCTACGTTTTGGAATTAAATGAATTTCTTCATAGATATGCATATCCATATCTACAAGAAACATGCAATGAAATTATACACCATTATTGATAAATCTAAATAATTTAGCATCCTCACGTACGTGTCATATAATCAGATGAAAGACAATAAAAACCATTTAAATATCGTTCTGCCATCAAAACCGAAGCTGTATCTCGAAGATCTATTTTATCTACTATATTATCAAGCCACGATATAATGGAATAAAAATCGAAGCCACCATCAATATATTTCACGTCTTCTCCTTCCACGTATAACGATGGCTCGTGTTTCTGAAACAGATAGCATAGTATTTATGAAGTAACGAATAAGGTGAAATACACATTCGGTTATAACATAATTCATAAAATAAAAGCAATAGTTTAAATCAATAATAATTATTTCTACTGACAAGAAAAATTTTTGATTCTATCTCCATCTTAGGTTCATCTCCGAAAAGATATTCGCCACAGTCTGAAATTATTATTTCTTTCGAAGGACGTTCATAGTATGTTGATATATTTTCTAATGTTTCCAACGTTTTAGCTCCATCCACGAGTTGTCTTTACAAAACAAGTAAATTATAACGATTCAATCTTACCATTAATTAATACCTGAAAAATCTATTTTTAATGAATAGTAGTTTTCTCTTTACTTACCCGAAAGCAACGTAGTAATAATTCATCCATGGATTAGGCTTTAAGCATACAAAGAATTGAGATCCATTGCAATGTTTTCCATCATTTATCAGTGAAAGGACTCCGCGACGGTTATGAGGAATGCAATAAGATTCGCCAGGTATTGTAATAGTGTCGTATATAGGGCTTTTATTGATTTTAAATAACATAACGGTTTCTATGAATACAAATTTATAGAGAAATAAAAAGCAGCTACGGTACTTTTAATACTCACGTCGTATTTTCACATTTCAGTTTGCTTCCACATTGAATCCACCCATTTTTTACTATGCGATGTACACACATGTTTATGTAATAAGACTGTTTATAACACTTTGTTACAGCATCGTATCCAGTACAAAGATTTAAAAAATATTGGCAAGTCAATGGTAACAAATCAGAGTACAACTAAAGCGTGATAAAAAGTAATTTTTCAGATAACATTTTTAATTAATTAATTAATAAAACAAATATGAATTCTTACCATAAACATAAAAGAACCGATTGTACAACCGTTTACAGTAAATGTAAAATACACGTATTTTCTCTACAAAGTGTATCAAGTATTGTATTACTGTACAGCTTACAGATTATTAATCTATGTATCATTAACCATTTGCTTACCTTCGATTTCTCCATAAATAATTTACACTGTTCCATGGCAAGGTTTTCATAATATTCCATGCCAACAGGTAAACTAAAAATATAGGATTCACTTATATACCGTAAAAGTTCGTCATCGCTACCGAGGAATTTATCATCTATAAAGACTGCAACGGTTCGCTTCAGCGACCACATTTTACCACCAACTTTCTAAAAGTTATTGTACGTAAACTACAATTGACCCATGTAAATAAGAGTTGTAATATATATTTTATTAAATGCGAATTGTACAATAGTTACCCTTTTTCTTTCTAGAATATACTCATACCAATCGACTTGAAACATTTCTATAATTTGCGGAGTTGCAAATTTAAATGTTAAATGCTGATACAACTTTTCGGCGCATATTCGAGCTTTCTGGAAAGCAATACTGTTTATAATACCTACTACTTTCAATCTAATAGTATCGTTTCGAAAAAAATTCGAGTAACAGTATGCTTTAGCTTTATTTTCCATCGTTCCGATTTCATTCATTGCAATTATTTCCTTTTAGAATGTTATTTAAAGAATAACTTATTCCAAGAAACAGTGTGACTATATATGTCATTGTTTGTACATATGGAATAAAATGATAAAAAGATAAAACACAGTTAAATTAACTATATTCACATCGATAATTCAAAGACCACTCCATATATACAGTGACTATAATATATTAATTATTATTTGCGTTTTTTTGCATTTATCTTTGTTTGGAATTTTTCATCAACCATCTAGATAAACGCATCAATTTTCAAGAAGTGCAGTGTACGTGTGTGACATAACAGTATGTTGCACTAATAAGTTTAATAAATATTTATTGACTGTATCTCGTTTTTATTAACATTTACAACGCTCAAAGGTTCCCCCTAAAAAATAAATTATTCCGATGTAATATTTCAATGGAATGGGAAAATGTGTATTCTTTAACGCTCCTTACATTGCTTTGGCAGTACTTTCAATATCGGTTTTCTCATCGCTGCTGCTGCTGCTACTACTTGTATCCAAATTATATAAAAAGGAATCATTCTCGCACATAGGGAAATAAAATCTGAAATTTTATATTGGTGAATAAGCATTAATCGATAATGGATTATAATATCGAAATTCATTTACTTTACATATATGCAGGTACTAACTTCGGCTGATCCCACACTTTTTGTATGGGTATCTTAAAATGATTTTGTTGCTTCATATGCTCCAAAACATTGTCTACTTCTATCTCACAAAAAACACAATGTTGCAAATGAATTTGTCTCCTTACATAGTTAACTACTTTCACCTATATTTTAAATTTAAAGATTATAATCCATACACAAGTATTTTTTTACTTAAACAAACACATGGTACCTTTTGATAGAATGTTAAATCTTTAGATGTCTCTTGGAAGTCAAATTGATGTTCGGTTTTCATGTGAGAAAGAATCAGATGAAAGTATTTATCAGTGTGAGTACAGAACAAACAAGTTATGCGAACACTTTCATCATTCCAATCAGACCACGTCCCCTCATCTTCGCTACTTTGGTCTTCTACCGCGTCATCTTTTTTCACATTACTCTGAGAATATTGAAAGTCACATTAAAATAGTTACAGTTTATCGTGACATTTTTATAATGATACAATACCTGTTTATGTCTCCATGATTTTTCAGGTTCTAAATAATTATTTATATAAAATTTATCATATTCTTTATTATTAGGATTTATACGTTTATGCAATTTTTTGCGCATGTGTTCTTTTAATGCTGTGCGATCTTTAAATATTTTTTCACAGTATATGCATACCAAGCTGAGGAAAATACATAACGAACATTAAAGTAATACCAACCTAGTTTAAGGTATATCTTTAATCTCTTACTTTTCAATAGTGTTCTCAATCTTATCTAAAAATTCATCAATGAATACCAGATTATCTGGTTTTCCTAAGTATAAATTATGTTTCTGTGCCAAATGTTTCACGTATGTGATACGTAATCCTGAAAATTCCATTCGGCAAAAAATACAACCACGTTTGAAGTTAGTGTCAGTCCTTTCTTTGGTTTGTTCTGATAAAACCCATTCCTTAAAACATGGAACGTACGTTATATTATTGTCACACCTTAACAAACAAATTCTTTTAAGTCTAATATAAATTACCCGTACCAATTTAGCTCTGTGTATTTCATCTCTTAATGTCTTATCTTCCAAGATGCAATCAGAAAGTAAAAAGTATATTTCATTTTTACTTGGTTGCCCGTCTGGTGTGCAGTCCATTAACATAGTTGTACAGTACGTTGTTACGGCTGCTTCTTTAAATTTAACACCCCAGTAATGTACATAGCTAAAATATTGAAAATAGTAAAAATTTTAACTTATAAGATTTTACATAAACAAATGTTACAATGACAATTGAAAACCTTTTTAAACTAGCGATATTCCAAATATCTCCTATTACAAGCCTATGTTCTTTAAATAAGTGGGTCAACAGATCTTTCTCATTGTCAGGAAGAACAAATTTTATATCGCATAAAAGACATTTTGTAGCATATGGTTTATCATCCAATCCAATAAAAGGAAATTTATACGTATTATAATCTTGCTTACAAACAGTGCTCGAATGTGATAAATTTTCTGTAACATAAATAAATACAAAACTATTTATATAACACCAGAATTTTATTGTAAATCTGTAATTATTTTCTTAAGAACAACAAATATGTATGTACCTTTGAGATTCATAATTGTTATAATTTCTTTAGAAATCAAGTAAATTATATTTATCGTCTCAAAAACCTTAAGTTTACTCTTCAAATTGTTCTCCTAACAATAGGTTAAGAATAAAAAATCTTAAACGACATTCTCAAAGTTCCATCCATTGGTATAACAATTTTTCTTGTTTTTTACGAGATTTATTAGAAAAATTTATTTTACATTAGTAACTGATTTTTTAACAAATAAGGAAGTGTCGATAACATTATTACTATGGATTGTCAACTACTATTAAATATTCAGGTGAACAGAAGACTTACGAATATCACGTGTTCTCCGTCATCTGTCAATTTGAAAGAAAAAAGAAAGAAGTAATTTTCATTGACGAAGGAATTTTAAAAATATATGTCACAGTTGTATGATACGTTAAATATAGGTATATTTACACTCTTTTTGCAACAATTACAATATTTTTTTTATTTCCAATACAATAACGAAGTCTCGGTTTTCATGGTTCGTTTAAAATGTAATATAAAACTGCTCTCTTAATATTAAAAATACATGTATCAAAACATTCCAGTCATACATTTCATGAAAAAATTAAAGAATCAGATTTGAAGAATAGGAAACAAGAAAAAGCACACAAACATGGTACCTAAATCTTTATTTCTCCTTCTCACAACTGGATTTATATTTAATAATCCCATATAGTAACATTAAATGGCATATATGTAAAGAAACACTGCTAAATACAGTGCTTGGGTAAGTGTTCCAACATAACTCTATGATACCCAAAATGGTCAACTTAACAATAGTCTTATAATCGGTGCACCATGCAATATAAGGAAGTGTATGATAATACCATACATAAAATTGATAATGTAGTGATCTGCTGAACACAATACCAATAAAATTGGCAGCAAACATTGGCAAAACAAACAATTGACTCATTGTAGACATGTCTACTTTTTCTCTCTTTTTCAATTGAGGTTGCAAACTTTTCTCTAAATCTTTCAATTTGGCATACGATTTCATATATTTCATCCAATTTGGGCTACAATAAATCAGAGCCAATATATGTAATGCTAACAATGACAAATGAAAATATGGATGAATAAAAATATGTTGTGGCAGAAATCTCCAATTAACAGTCCATTTAAATTCAAAAACTCTTCCAAAATCAAAAGAACCTTTGACATAGGCTAATGGATTATTGAGTATAAAAGGCATACCCAACATTAATTGAATGAACGCACAAACGAATAAATGAACTACAGTCTTCAATAATCCAAGGTTAGACAAGTAAGCAATAAAGAGAGCTGGTGCAAATAATAAAATGTTCATTTTTATGGACACAGCTAAGCTGTAAAGAATACTTCCTAAATACCAGCGATCGTCTAAAAATGCATTAATGCTTGCAAATAAAAGAACCATTGCTATCGGATCATTGAAAAGTCTCAAAGTAAATATAGAATGAACACGGTAAGATGTACAACACATAATAATTAGAACGTAAGGTGGAACTTTCTTTGTCTTCGCGTAAATGCGACAGACCAATATAAGTAGACTTATATAAAGAACTGCAAAGATGTACTGTGCTATTTTTATCTTTGTCCCATGGTCCGTAACGTAGTAAAGTGCGGAAAATATGTAAACGAATCCTGCTGGATAGACTAATGGTCCAGTATCACCTCTCAGTTTCGAATAATCCATTGTTCCATTCAAAAAGCCCTCGACTTCTTGCATATATGCTTTCCAGTCGATTTCGGTATATGGTACGCGTTCGATAATCAATATGTTTAGAAAAATTTCGTGGATAACGAACACTCTTCCGATTAGAGAAATTTTCTTCGGGTCTGTAAATAAGGAAACGAGCTTGTCCCATTTTAAATAGTTTTCGTACCAATTTTTAATAGTTTTCTTTGATGATTTCACCAAATTTTGGTTAGACCGATGGTCCTTACGTGGCGCCATATTGCTACTAAATGCATACACACAGAATATACGTGTATGTATATACGTATAATTCATTCCCATGAAGAATTTACTATTTATAGTTTCTTATGTACGATAAAAGTTCGGGTATCTCCCCTTCGAACTTTAATGCAAAACTAATAAAAGGGGAAAGGAAAATACAAAAATGTACAAGAAAAACATATATTCTGTAAACAGCAACACTGTTCATTGTATTCCTACGCAGTGACATTACCTGTTCACCTTTATAAAAACTTTTTGAAAAATTACAAACGATACATAGCTCCTAAAGAGTCTTTCTAACAGAAGCTAAAAACAAACAATGCGCAGTTGTTGGATTAAATATATTTTCATACAATTTATAACTTTGACTTAATTCAATGAAAATGTGTAAACTTAAAAGTCAATGCACATACGTAGTACCATGTCTCTTCTAAAGTAAAAGGATCGCCGACAAATTCTTAACGTGCATAGAAAAACAAAGCAACGCTCTCCTAGTGACAATTAAATTTGTTATGTTGTGTAGCGTTTTATAAGCTAGGCACCGAGTAGTTTAGTTGTTTTTGGTTTTCATTTTTTAACGTGCAGTGAGTAACAACCAATTGTAAAAGCTTGTGTTGCACATGAGTCATAGGATGTGTGGACCAATCAGGATACGCCAGCTGGGATTCCGGGGTTTTGACAGAGTCCAACGTGTATAAAACCAAGCGTGCGATAAACTGATGTAGCTACGACTAGAATTTCTTTGAAATTGTAAGCGTATGAATTAAAAGTTTCAGTGCATTTACATTACTAATTTACTAGAATATTTTCTACGTGGTGTATAAGTTACTTTGTTAACGCGACACAATGTAAGTTGTATTTCTTCGTTATTCTTGGTAACCTCATAAAGATAGTAGACGTAAGCATTCTCTTATTAATTAATGTTATTTTCGCAATCTAACGGTAGCAAGTAGTCTATAATAGAATATCACTTTTGTTCGTATCAAATAAATGGATTAATCGAACTATTGCTTAAAATGTTCTAGTCACCGTTTTTGCAGATGAGTTGTTTTAAATTAATATTAACTCTGTCGCGTTGTTGTTTAAAAGACATTTTTCATTTTCTATGATTTTATTATTCCGACATTGTTGTTACTGTCGTTGATAATTGTAACATGGATATCTACAATATTATGTAATAATATATATATGTAATAATATGTATATATATATGTATATATTTAAATATTATTCTGTTTGTTTAGAGTACATATACAAAATGAACAATTCACTGCTATTAGCTCTATCCATTCTCGTTGGAGTAATCTGCAGCGTATCAACTTTAAGAAATGATGAATGTGAAGGTACACAATTTATATTTTTCCATTTATATCTATTCAGTGTTTTATGCCGGCTGATTTTAACTTATTTATTTTTGTTATTATTATTTTAGTATGTATATCTACCGTGGAAAAATTCGTTAACACGTTGTCCGATGATGTCAAAAAGGATACCAAAAAAATAGAAGCAGCGTTCAAAGCATTTTGCAAAGGCACTAAATCTAAGGAAAACAGATTTGTATGTTTTTATATTAATAACAGAATTAATAATTTCTATATGTAGCAGATCTATAGTTATGATAACCAAACTGTTTCCTCTTTTTATAGTGTTATTACTTGGGTGGTTTGGAAGAATCTGCAACTGGTATTTTAGGGGAATTAAGTAAACCTGTATCATGGTCGATGCCAGCAAATAAAGTATGCGAAAAACTGAAGAAAATGGATGCTCAAATATGTGATTTGAGATTCGGTACGTGTGTCTTCACTTATTTTAATGTACACAACTGACCACCAGTTGTGTTTTTTTTCTTACAATATCAATGTTATAAAATTTCAGAGAAGCAAATTGACGTCGATACCGTTGACTTGAAGACGCTCAAGGTACGCGATTTGAAAAAGATCTTGAGCGACTGGGACGAAACATGCGATGGGTGTATAGAAAAGACAGATTTTATTAAGCGAATTCAAGAACTAAAACCTAAATATTCTCGTAGTTCGAAATCGGAACTCTGAAAAGTGTTCAGTGATCTAGATAAATTATAACGAGTATGGCTAAGATTTTGGATATATTTTATTTTACAAAATGATTGACTGTATTTAACATATATGTGTTTGTGGTTAAATACATATATGAGGAAATATCATTTTGTAAAAATTTCATTTAACAGGATTTTTGAGGCCAGATTGACGCATTTATGTTTCAGTAAATATAAAATTATTTTTCTTTAATTTATATATATATATATATATATTATATATATATAATCTAAGCAATAACTTAGATATGATTCTATGAGATTAGGATACTGAGCAATGGAAATATCTAAAAACAATTAATTTCTTTTTTAGTGTAGCCATGCTAGTAAGTATTAAATATTATAAGAAGGTGCTCCGTTTTTTATCGTACCAATGCTAGACAAGTATAAATAATTGAAATTTTTCATACTATAAATTATTTTTATGGTTTTATCTTTCATTGCTCTTCCTCGAATATTCTGATGACAGTGAGTTTATACATGTATGAATCCTATTTATACCAAAATGCAGTGTACTATATCAACAGATGTGTATATGTGGTGGACTATTAATAATGCGTTGTTATATATCATTACTTTTTCTTTTCCATTTGCACATAAGATTCACAAAGTTTTGTTCATTTTCAAGTGCACATCGTTCGGATATTTCTTTTAAAAGTCACATGTAATACGCATTACCTTTTTACATCGATCAGAAGTTTCGTTTTATCCGTAAATATATATTATGAACCATTAAATTAGAAATTTATTAAATGCTCAGTATTATGTATTTATTAACAATCTCGTATTTACAAGTGCCAGTTTCACTCTGTTACAAAGTTATATGCAAAAGATGCATATAATATTTTAAGGATAACATTGAGGTTGTTTATCGATTAACGAATCTCTTGTACAATAATATTATTTGGTGAAGATATTCTTATGAGGTGTGAAACGGAAAAGTCTTATAAAGAAATTAAAGATCCAATAATTTTGACATTGAATAAAAAACTGTCATATAAGTTTGTTATAATGATTTATTTTAATGATGCTGATAATGTGTACCTTGTCAATTACCATCGCAAACTGGTGGCTCGCTCCAATGACCATCCGCTTTACATGTAATTAATCCTTGTTTCTTACCGTCTGGACACACATAAGTCAATTGATCTTGATACAAGTATGAACGGCCGTGAGCGGTAACTCCAGGTGGAAGTTTTGGTTTGTTACACGATAATTCTACAAATATTCATCAATTCAGAAGATTCGATTCGGAAACGTTGCCGTCTATCACGCGATCCGCTTACTTGAACATTTACTGTATACTCTGGACCAGCTTCCATTTGCAAGACATCTCGTATTCGATTGTCCATACATTAGGTACCCGGGTAGACATTGATAAGTGATCACGTTACCAAATGTAAAATTTACCGTTTCGATACCGACTTGTTTTATCACCGCATTTGCAGGTTTCGGTGGCTTTCCACACACCACAGCTAAAATACAGAAAATACTGCCATTATACTGTTTGCTCTGTTAACATAACACACCAACTAAATCAATCGTACGAATGCCAGTTTTATTCTTACGTTTACAAGAAGGAATCGTAGACCATGTACCATTCGGAGAACAGACAGATTCTCCGTTGCCTTCGATCGTATAACCATGACGACATTTGAAAGTTACAGTACCGTTAACGGTTCTCGAATAATTATTGCTATTATCGATTATGTATCCGTATTCTGGAATCTGTGTGGTTCAGTTTAATTGAAATTCTTTATTCGTAAACACATTCACGAAGACAATTAAATATACTAGATACTTACCGTTATCGACGGACACATTAATTCTTGACAAATATTAATTAACTTCTGGTCAAATAAATGCTCGATTACGTTACTATTCAGTTTCAAATAATAGATATCCCATTTACCATTCTCATTGCAAAACCATGTTAAATTAGAAACACGTATACCGACGTTTTCATCTGTTATCTCGATCGTGTCGTTATTCTTACAACTAACAACTACTTTTTCCTTGTACGTGTGTCCTTCCACAAAGTATCTCAAATTTTTATACGAACCATTGTAATATTTTAGATTGTTCGATTCGTTGGTATCGTTCCCCCAAATATCCAAATTATCTGCTTCTCTATCGAGATATTTGAACAACGGGCACTCTCGTATAGGACATTCGGATGGTTTGCAAGACGATGAGGTTAATGACCATTGCTCGTTATTCGTACAGGTTCCAACGTTGTCTCCAATCAATTTGTATCCCAAGTCACATTGTATGAAAATTTCTGAGCCAACGTTAAACCGATACTCTGAATCTTCATTGTTTTTCACCGTGGCCTCCTCTTCGGTAACATTAGCGATGTTTTCTTCCTTGAAAAGCTCAACAGTGCCATTCGGAGTTTTAACAAATATTTTGCCATTGTTTATAACACTGGGCCAGGGACATTTAAGGGACACGCAGTCGGGAACGAATCCGCTCCAAGTACCATTTTCGGTGCATCGAAGTTTAAATTCGGTTAATAAATTATGATTACCCTGGAACTTGTATCCCGCGTGACAAGAGTACCCAATCACATCGTCGAAATAATAGTTTCTTTCCAGAGTATCGTTAACCGTCTCCGAATCCAGTCTTGCGGCAGAAGTTTCGTGCAAATTGTTCGAGTTAATGAAAATCGCATAGCCGTGTTCGATCCTGCAAATATTAATGATTTATCATCTAGAATTATTAGGTGTCCAATTGATTTTTCTGAACTTACTCTTTCGGTGGTGGACATCCATAAATCTCACACGTTGGTTTCTCATGATCCCATAGTCCCGATTCCAAACACGTCAGGAACTTTTCTCCGGCTAAACGAAATCCCGGATCACACTTGAACTCCAGTTGCTGACCTACCTGAAATAAAGTTTCGTAAAAGATGTTGATTTTCATTTTGATCAACGAACGGCCCTCCCGGAAGGTGATTTCTCCCACCTGTAGAATCGACAGATCGTCTCTTTCGTACTCCTCTATCACGTACTCGATGTCACCGTGTTCCGGAGCTAATAAGTTCTTGCATGTTCTTCCTGTTATGAAACGCAAAGATATTTTAGGAAATAAACAGATCGGAGATGAAAGAAATTCCCAGTGTTGTCGCGACAAGGATCGAATGTCCTCACCTATGCAGACCGGAGGCAAGCCACTCCATTTTCCATCGGCAGTGCAAATCCTACGGGAATTCCCTCGAAGTTCGTACCCATTCAAGCAAGAATGGTGTATTTCGTCTCCAAAGAAATACGATTTACCGTGTATGCGGCCTCGGGGAAAATATCCGGGGAACCCACATTTCTTCCCTGAAATGAAACTCGATTCTTTAGAGATGCATGCCTGAATAACGAAAGCTTATCTTGCGAAGTGAACATCTGCGGAGAAAAATAAGGAAATATAAGGTGTTCCATCTTACTGGCGCAAACCGGCGTGTAGTAGCCTTCCCAATGTCCTTGTTTCAAACACTGAATTCTCAACGATCGATACTCTTTTCCCCGAAACCGCACCGCGTAACCAGGTTCGCAGTAATAAGTGATTTCCGACGAGTCATCGCTGACATTTATGTAACCTTTGAAAGGGACGACCGGTAAAGGGCAACCATGACAGAAAGGACTGCCTAATATCTGAAAAGAATATTCTATTCTGAGCATACAGTTTCTGTCGCAAACATAGTTTTCTAACCAAAAGTATCTCTTAACAAGATAATTAGATGATCGAAGAGTACTTCCGGAAAAGGTAAGTGCCATCGAATTGTGCGACTGCTATGGACCACTGGTGTCATTAACTACTCGACTAGTTCGAAAGAACTAACTAGTTCTAAAGAAATCGGAAAATGAAATTGTTGAATTTTGGCAATTGGCCAGAATTGTTTTCCACAAGGACTCGCGGTGAATCGTCGAGCTTCGATAGATCGTGTATAATTACAGCAACGTCGCCGTGCAGGTATTCTTGTATTTGGGGCCACGCGATCACGTTGCCGTGGTACTTGTCGCAGGTGCTAAACAAATGTTTCACGTCTGTCGCCGACAGAACCGTATCCCAAACGTCCAGCAGAGTTATTTTCCCGAGGAACGATTCCGATTCGGAAAATCCACCACCGATGCGGTCCTGCTCTTGGCCGATCACCAGGGTGCCGTTCCCTTATCGTGGACAGTATTTGTTAACGGAAATATTTGTACACGTTGCGACATTCGCATTAACAAAGGATCAAGATAGGCAACGTCGTAATCGATGATTACCTTGGATGGCAGTTTTCTTCGCCAAACGAGACCCACTGTCCCGGAGAAATCCATCGATATATATATTCCAGCCGCCATTCTCGCTTTCCCAAGTGATGCAAACGAAATGCCAGTGGCCATCGTTTACCTTAATGTCGGTCACCACTTTTTGCCCGTTGATGTATATCACGAGACTGTTACGAAGAAAATGTCATTATTTCTGACTGGATTATTTCGTTGTTTCCACGAAGATGATTTCGTTACCCGTTGTAATCGGTCACTGTGAACGTGTTGTCGTAGTAACGGGTCGCGTACGACACCACGGTTCCGTAGTTGAACGTGTCCTTCGATTGCAACCACAAGCAGGTTGTTAACTGAAAATCATTAACAAGTTGATCGACAAGTTGGTTTCATTTCGTTTATTTGATACCTCGACGATGCTCTCCGAGGGACCCTTCATGCGGATATAGTCCGTCGTTCCCGATTTGGCGAAGTGCATCACATAATCGGATGATAATTCTATAATAGAAATAAAAAAGAAAGGTATCTTTAAAAGACACTGCCTTATAATTCACGTGGTGGTTCTAGCGTCGTTACAACACCGTTGGTTCCTTGCGCGTGAACATGCGAACGATTATGTATTGCAATCGAACAAACGGCGGAAAGAATATATTCGTCAAGACTATACTTTCCAGTCTCGCAATTGCGCCCTGTAAACGGAACAGGACACGCGCACGTGTAATTGGAAATCTCGTTGAAACATTTCCCATTGTTCCGACATGGAAGGCTGCTGCAATGGTCCACTCTCGTCGAACAATCTTCTCCCGTGTAGCCGTCGTTGCATTCGCATCTAATGAGAGCATTATTTTAAGTTAGCATTATTTTACATTTTAATCGGCTGTACTTCACTGTAAGCGAATACCACCTGTGGCTCGTTCGTGTCGCGTTCTCTTCTCGAATGTTGATGCAATAAGAATTTTCGTGGCAAGGGAGCCAATCGCAGGGCAGTAAGTTGCAATGGCGACCGAGGAAACCAGGCCTGCAGATACACTGCCAAGTCTCGTTGACGGTGCGACAAGTTGACCCTTCCATGCACGGCGGAGGATCGCAATGGTCCACGAGGATTTCGCAGAATTCTCCTGCGCTCGACATTGTTTCGACGAACGAATTAATAAAATGAATTAAAAATTGAATAAAACAAATTCCGATTCGAATAATAAACTAATGCACCTTCGAAACCACCGTGGCATTCGCAGCTATAATCATTTTCGGTGCTCGTGCAGCTGCCATTGTTTCGGCATGGGTTCAGCGCACACTCGTCGATACGAAGCTAGAAGCATTCACATTATTCGTTGGACCGTTTAGATATACTTTATTCATAAATACCTCGCAATTGCGCCCCGAATATCCACTGTCACAGGTACAAGTATAGTTTACTGCGCCGTTCCCGAGATTCTGAACGTTGCATACCCCTTCGTGCAAGCATGGCGAAGAGTCGCAAGGATTTCGAAATTGTTCGCATTTCGATCCTGATGAAATTTCTTCGAGATGAATTCGGTCGATTGAAAAGCGTGAAATGCAAAAATTCGTTTGCTCACCGACATAATACTCGGGGCAGTCGCAGCTGAAGCTATCGTCTTCTCGCACGCATTGGCCGCCGTTCAAGCAGGGTTCCCCGGATCGACAAGCGTTCGTTTCGATCTTATAGAATGGCGAGCAATCATTCGCATCCTTGGAACCTCGATTTACCGTAGTCGTGTCGGATGGGCAAGGCAGACAATTGGTTTGACCATAGTTCGGCTGATAAAACCCGATGTCACATTTTACGCAAGGTTCCAGAGACAAACGAGCGCCACGATGTCGTTTCTTTCGAGAATAATATCCAGGCTGGCATAGAGCTAAACGAGAGAACAGTGTCCTCTTAGAATTCATATTTATTTTGCCTTCCGAACGTTTCCCTTATTCTTCGACTGGTGGCATTTCTGGGCAAGGTATAGGAAGTGTAGGATCATCCCTATTAAATCCATCGCTGTCTTATAAAGATAGAATAGAAGAGAAAACAAGTTGTCTCGTAAAGGATAGACAACTATTTCTATTCGGAAAGCTTGCTAAGGTTGTTTCCGAGAAATGTCGACAATGCGCTGAAAACAGGCGACACATTGAAATGTTAGACTTACGTATGCAGTCTCCGAATGCTTTCGAATGCATTTTCTTCGTGGACGTGTGTTCGGGACAGCGTTTGCACTTCAACGATCCGACAGCGTCTTCGTATTCCCCGAAAGAACACGGTCGGCACCGATTAGTCGACGGATCGAAGAAAGTCCCGAGTGGACATTTCACTGCATTTCGATGAAAATCGATGAAATCTTATCGTTTTTATATCGCAGCATCCGAAGGAAATACGTTGGATTTATTTACCACAGGAATGCTTCTTCAGAATGCTTCCTGGCTCGCAGATCTCCTCGAAATTCTCGAAAACGAGATGCAGATTCAACGCGAGTTCCGCGATCTCCCGATTGGTTCGCTCGTTCAACAAATTCAGTTTTCCAGATTGCGACATTTCCTCCATTTTCTGCCTGAGTTTTCGTATCCCTTCCCTCGGGTTTACCACATTATCTTCGACTATCTTCCCTACGTTGAATAAAATGTTCGTTAAATCGTTGAAAGAAAAATCGAATTTAATGGCCGCCGCGACTGGACGATTACCCAAAAATTTGAATTTGATCTCGATCTTTTCTCTCTTCTTTTTCACTCTCGACCTGTTTTTATTCGCGTGATCGTCGTTCCTTTTAACGATAACGTCCCGTTTCGTTTTCCTATTAGTACCGTACAGAGAAATCTTATAGTTCGAGTCTCTTCGCTTTCTCAACGTGTTCGAATAAAGATCCTCCGCCGTTGACTCCGCGTTATCCTTGCATTCTGGATCGAAGGTGATCAGATCGCACTCGATGTCGTTCCCGCAAATGTCGAGCAACGTCGATCTTAAATCGGCAGTGATATATTCGCTCAGCTGATTGAAACAGTAATCGAATATTTGATTCGGTTCGATTCGGAAACCGATTTAACACTAGAACTACCAGACATGTCAAAATGACCCGTTCTCCTCGTTTGGTTTCTTCTTCTCGCGATTATTGCAACGCGCAACGGATGATTCTCGGAGAGAGATCGGTAAGAGAAATTTAGTAGAAATCAATTTGACTGCTCGGTAGTTGAAATGTTAAATACTTCGGATTGATAGTTACTTCGCGCAGGGTAGTTTGATTGTCGCATATCGCCGACGTGTTTCCTTCTAACACGATACTTCCATCTTGAGACACAGCTTTCGGTGCGATCGACACTGTGAAATAACAATTGTTCGTTAACTGCTCTCTATCTGTCGCGCAACTTGAAATCGCTTCAAAACATTTCGAAAAGAAATTGGGACGTCGAATTTCTTGATTCGATGAAACTTAGTTAGTTAGACAAATGCGGTATACCCGAACAATCAGGAATGTAAGTTTCTTCGGTCGAATTTGCACTGGTTTCGTTACAATTCAGCAGCAACAGGTCTTCCACGACACGAACATCTGGGAGCTCGTTCGCGAATTCGAAGCCATTGTCGCAACCCACGGCACACTCGGTCATTCCATTCTCCCATGTAGAACAGTTCGAGTGTCCATTAAAAACTTGTGGAATTTCTTTGCATATATCTGAGAATCGCAAATATTATACAATTGATCCGATAATTCTTCTCGCGAAGACATCGACGCGATCTGCTGCTAATCAATTGAACGTAGTAATACCTTTTATAGTGAGATTCAACACGCAACTCGCCAAGTTATCGTATTTATCGATCGCGTTATACACGATCCTTGTAAGACCGATGGGAAACGCGTTTTCTCCGGGTCGATGATTTTGTTCTACTCGTACGACTGTTTTCGAGTTGTCGTAAAAGCCGGGCTCGTCCCAAGTTACGTTGTTTAGACCGATTCCGTTGTCGGTGTACAATATTGGAGGATCTACGCAGTTTTCGATCATCGGCGGTTCCGTGTCTGAAACAATTGAAATCATTGAAAGACCGTAGTATCGTCTGAATGTTGTATCGGTGGTTATACCACGGAAAAATCGTACCGAGAACTTTCACTTTGAATTTGCATCTAGCTTTGTTCCCAGTCGAATCTTGCGCCACGTACAGCACAGTACGCGTACCGATCTTCGCTTTCCAAGGTACCGTAACGTAAGGTTTGCTCCAAACCGTTGGCGACTCGTCCGCGTTGTCGGTGACCACAGGACTCGACCAGTTCACGTACGCGTAATTCTCCCCTGGTAAACTTTTGGCAGTGGTGTCCGGTGGACAAGTGATCTCGGGCGGTACTTGGTCTAATTATACGAACAATTCCATCGCTTTTCAAATTCGAATTAACTACGCGCAAAGATACGCGCAAACTAGTGGCAAGTATTTTATTTTATTAAGATTTTGAAATTCAAGTTATCCCGGAGAAAATGAAGAGTGGATGAAGTTACAAGCTGTAATGTTCGAATTAAGCTACCTATGCAACGGGTGACGCTTCGTCGTTGCGTCCACACTCCGGAACGTCCTCCGCAAGTTCTGCTACGCGGACCCTCGAGCGCGAAGCCTTTTTTACAGGTGACCGTGCAGTTTGTCGCAAACGGAACTTTATCCGGGCCAGAACAGCCCTCCGGCGAAATCTTTCCGTTCGGTATTTGCTTCAGAGGCTGGCACTTTATCGCTGAAAATTACCGAATAGCAACACCAGAGTTAACGCTAGGGTTCAACTTTAGTACGGTTAAATAGCGTTTATTCGAAATAAAAAGGGGACCTTTGCACGTCGCTTTCAGACCATCCCACTGCGACAGAGGCAAACAATTACGAATCTTGCTGCCGCGAAGCTGGTAGCCGCTGTCGCATCGGAACTGGCAACGAGTGTCGATCGGATACGCCGTGTAGTCCTCCGTTATCAACTGTCGATCATCTTCGTTCTGGCATCGCACTCGGCCGTGCGACGGTGCTCGAAGGGCTGGACAAGTTTTCACTGTTGAACGGTAAAAGGTATTTCTTCGAGTATTTCTTTGTCGAAATATCCGTTTACATTCTCTCCTACGGATCGAACTTACGCAAACATTTCGGTTCATTTCCGGACCAAATGCCATCCTTCCCGCAAAGTCTGATGCTGTCACCCGTTAGGTAGAAGCCTATTTTACATCTGACACCGCAAGCCGCGTGAACAACGTTGTTGCAAGCACTAGCTTTTACCAAGTATCCATTTTCAGGGATCCTCAGTTTTGGACATGTTATCACTGCGAAGAATCGTAAGAAAATTACGAAACGAACTTGTCGAGGCAACCGCGAGGCGAGCACATCTGTAAACTTCACTACGAATTCATCGAAAAAATCCGTTCCGACGGTTTCACGAGTTTCCGTGAAATTCATATAATCGCCTGACATTCGAAACCAACGAAATAATGGATCCGCGCTCGAATAAGCCTCGCGACTACGTGAGCACTTCGAGGAACTTGACCGAAGCGTTACTCAAGGAAAGGATGTTGCAAATGAAATGGTTAGAAACGTACGAGTGGTTACTGGACGAACATGGGCACGTATCACGAAGAATTCAACTTGAGCGTGTTCGATCGTTTGATAAAAGTAAATTTTTCAATCTACAGAGGATTGCAGAAGGAAATGGCGAAACTGTGCGAAGAGAGGCACACGGCTATCGAAACGGAAAAGTTTGTTCGAGAAGAAGGGAAAACGTGTTTGCCGATTCCGACGACTAGCAACTCTGATGTGCGTATGTATGGAAATACTGGTAATAATGACGAATGGAAATAAATTTGCAGTATGGCTGGCTAGCGTCGAAATCAAAGTTCCGCCTCGAAAAATATGGATCCTACATGCCGGAGTATCCCGATCCTCTGAACGATATAGCGCATTTGCCTGGAAACATACCTGTCCTCGCAGCTGGCAAAGGATTTCTCTCGTAGATCGAAATCGCTAAAAATATCACACGTCCATCGACCTTATAATAAATTACCTTCGCATTTTATTCCATCCGTTGTAAATCCCGACGCGCAGACGCAATGCTTGATCGAGGTTGCTGGTACTTTGATAGTCACGTGATTCGCGTCGGGGCAAGATACGCAGGTGGACGTCGAATCGCCGGAGATTCCTCCGGAAGCGTACGTGCCGTTCGGGCATGCTTGAAAACAGAGGATTCAAATGTCTCGTTGGAAAGGTATTTCCGGGAAAACTGAATTTTCCTTGAACTCACGTCGGCAGGATCCTTTGAAACCCGAACCAAAGTATCCTGTAGGGCAGATGCAAGCGTAATGTCCGGTCGCGATGCCGCAAGCGCAAGTCGCGAAACTGTCGCAGCAGCCCTGATCGTTTCCGGTTTCACCGACGCTGCTGCACAACGCGTCGCAGTTATCCGATGAAGCCACTGGCTGGTACTTTCCCGTTCTCAAATCTGCGGGAAGATTTTATCCGAGATTGCTCTTTAACTCGCGAATAGTATATTTCAGATATTCCAAGTAATCGATAGAAATCAATGGGACTCACCGCGATGCAACGCGCGTCGCGCGAAAGCTTCGAACTCGGCGAAGCTATCGAGGAAATAACTGTGCGTGTATCCAGGAAAGCTGGCTATATCGTGAAGCTCCTGCACGTTGCCGGTTCTTATTCCGAAAGTGAATATAGTTGCACCTGCACTTTTCAGTAGGTTCGCCGCGGGTCGCGGATCGCCGCCATTACTGAACCCGTCGGTTATCAGAAACACCGCTTTCTTCGCGTTTTCGCGTGCTCCCTCGAGAATCCTCTGGCACATCACGATTTCAAACATTTTAAAAGTAAATTAGCCAATCGGAGGAAAAGAAATCATCTCAATCGGACAAAAGAATCGCTCGAAAGGTTATCAATCGAATATTGAAAAATATGCTACATTGCAAACTCTGCTGTTCCAATCGAGTAAATAAAATTAGACGAATAAAATATTCGAAATGCTTACAAGAGCCTCGATAAGGGCGCCGCGCGTGTAAGTTCCGCCACCGGTGTAGCTAATATTACTCAATTGCTTATTTAATAAATAACATTTGTGATCGTTGTCTCCGGTGCGGGATATTTGGTCGACGTTGCGCCTGATGTGTCGTCTTCCACCGAATGTCACGATCGCGACCCTGGCGGCCGACGGTCCCACGATGAAGTCGGACAAGAGGTTTTTCACGAAACTCAACTCGCATCGGAAGTTTCTCAGGCCAACCGACCCCGACGCGTCCACCAGGAAAATCAGCTCTATCTGTAAAGTACTTTCCATGTTATTTCAACCGAGAAATTCACGAGGAATTTGCAGGAACTTTCGAAAAGAAATAACGCATCGTTCGGATACTCGCCTGGTCAGTTTGGTTTTTCAATCCGTCGATACGAATGTTGAACAGAGGCGACAAAGTATCGGCCTTTCTAAAGCTCTTCTCACTCTTCTCGAAACTTCCGTTCGCATTTTGCTTATAGTAAGAACCAAAGGACAACGGCGACACTTTATTTTCCTCGAGAATCCCGAAATCCAGTCCCTCGTCGATTTCTTCGGCAATATCGAAAGACACGATCGAAACGAACAAAATGGACAACGATCCGACCAATATCCATTTACTTGCCGCAGGATCGATCATGGTTGCAATTCGCACTTATTACTTCGAGACACTTTCAAGGCATGTTTCGTGGAAGACGATTTCGAACGCGAATGGAAATCCAACGACGCGACAGTTTAAACTCGACAAAAGTCGAACGTTTATTCAGTCGGATTATTCTCTTTTACGTCGACGTTTACACATATCATTGATCGCTTCTCAATCTTGATCACGACGATCGGTACGATGCACCGATTTTCATTTCGATCGCCCTAGGACGTCGTGCTGGTTATTTCAGATAGATATTAGAGTAATAATAATAATAATAATAATAATATCATCCCGTAACGCGCAACGAACGAAATTCGTTCGGAGATTTCTTCTTGCACGAGAGATACTTTGAAGGGAGCACTGTTCGCGATGATGCATGCGAGTGATCGCGCTAAGATACATCGGCGCAAACTGCCACTGGCTCCGTTAACCAGCGTCCGGGCGGTAGTTGAGCATTGAAAAGTTGAGAACAAGGGACTCTCTGTTCCATTTATACCGTGCACACGTGTTCATTTTCATCGGCTGATCTCGACGAATGTCCAATTTATTAAGAAACGAAATCGAGACGCCACGAATCTCTAGTCTCCGCGATAAATCTACCGCTATCCGTGCCAACCGCTGATACCGATCACCGATCGGCCATCGGGAATGAGATGGCTCGCAGTCACCGTTCGATTTATAATAATGATTCGAGGCAAAAAAGTAAAATAATATTGTATTAGAGCGAAATCTAACTCCTTTGGACATTTTCCTACAATCCATCGAAGCATCGAAGCAAAAGAAAATTGTCGTTATGTCGAAAAGTAAGCTCCAGGTGTCGATCGGTGATGTTGCGTTTGAAATATGAGACGATTATGCGAACGTTACGCGAAGAAAACGACTTCTGGCTTCCTAGGAAGGGTGTCGCGTCCGTGTCTGTAGGAGGGATGCCGAACGATGGACCGCTGCGGAAGCAGAGCAAACCGACATGCGGGGTCAGAAAAAGGCTACGGTCTCCGTGTGACCCGCATACGTATCTCGCGGATCCGACGCGAATCGATTGTTCGGTTCATCTAAAGTTCTCCCGATCGTCCCCCGTTCATTCTTGTTTTATTCGCCTTGCTCGGTTTATCGCGCGAGCTCGGGCAACGGACGCCGTTAACAATTATCGCGGTACATCCTGAGCAAATGAATCGAATCTACTCCAACCGCGTTTACTCGTCGGCGACAAGTCCGCGCGCGCCGTTCGCTCTTCCTCTCCGATGCGTTTTCTTCGACACGGTCAGTTTTACTCGGAACTGGGGAGAGGATCGCGGTTCCTGTACGCGGACCGTTATGTCGATCTTAACCGTGATGCTGATCTTCGCGTTAGTTTTCGCCGGTTTCGCCGGTTTCGCCGAAGAAAAGCAACCGCGTTCGCCGAACGGACCACGAGACCACCAAGAATACGCGGAGCAATGTCGCGTCACGAACCTGTGGAAGGTGCAATTGGGCTATGTGAACGTGATCGCGTTTTTCGACCCTTCCTGGCATTACAGCTACAGGCAAGCTATCATGTGAGTTGCTCGAACGCGTCCGATCCCAAGTATCCTGAAACATTATTTTATCTTTATGCTTTGATCTATGGTTAATTGTTCCACGCAAGGTTCGAGTTACTGAATAAACGATTAGAAAAATCCGGCTTCACCGGTATTTTATTCTTCGTTGTGACGCCATCGTCGAGCTTACCGGAAACCAGCATGGAGAACGATGTAGAGGCGAGAACGTGGAAGGAGATATCGAAAAATATGCTAGAACAAGAATACATTTGGGGCACCGAGGAATCGCAATTTTACAAGCTCGCGAAAAACAATGAGAAACGACTCGTTTTCTTTCGGGATACGCCCGAGTTAGGTATAATGGAGCACTTCCGTGCTTCGAGAGACGAGGTGGTGGTCCTTGATCGGTGAGACGTAATAATTAATAAGTCGTTTAATAGTATTTCAAATGTCAAATTAATCTAATCGAGTAGCCGATAGTTGCAGCACGAATCAATGAAACACACGTAAAACAAATGTTTCCGAGTAAAATCAGTTTTCATTATTACCGAGGGGACTGTTGTGTTGCATTGCAGATGTGGCAAGCTAACTTATCATGTAATTATACCATGGAGTATATTATATTTCCCGTACGTGAAAGCAGCTATTCTCTCCACGTATAAGGAGGACCCTTGTGGTCCATGCATCGTAAGCTTGTTCGCGAATCGAAAATTGATCGTTCGATAGAAATTCTAAAGGATTCGCGTATTTTTATCATCAACAGGAACAACCGTTGCCAATGTACCAGCCAATCGAGTACGAGGGATATAATTTTCAAGTGAACTCGAATTCGAAGGGAACAGAGAAAGTTCTTGATGTGTACGCAGGACAGGCTTCCGATAACTTCCAGTCGAAGAATATCGCGACCTTTTCGAAAGAAAATGAAAATCACGAGGACACGGGTACTCTAATCTATCGATGCGAATAATTCACTACGAATGAAACGTGTATGCTTCTGATTTTCTGTTCGCAGATGTTCCTACTATGAAAACAGATCTAGAAAATCTACTATCGGATACAGATAACAGAGAAGACAATGAGAATTCTCTCGTTAACGGTAACATCGCATCAACCGCAGAAGTCTCGGTAGGGCAGACGCAAACTGAAATTCTCCCTACGATCTCGGACTATAAAGGAAATCCGAATAACGACTTCTTCAAGAAACAGGAGGGCGTAAATGATGATAATTCGTTATTTACAATTATCAGCGCACCTGCCGATGAAACCAATTCAAATTATAAAGAATATCAAAGTATAAGGAAAGATGACGGAGCAGGTACTGTGAATACCGAGAGCGCGAAATCGCAAGTTAGCAAAGAAACTGAGGATTTACCTTTATGCATCATATTATATTCACCGCACACGCACCAGGAAAACCAGACATTGAAACAGTACACTCACTTGATTCTGAAAACAGGAAATTCGGATTACCATGATCACTTCGATAGTAGAAATGGAGTTTACGATCAACAGGTAACATTCATTTAAATATTGCAGATTTTCTTGAAAATTTTCTTAACGGTAGTGGAGATCTAACTTTTTTCTGTAACCATTAAACATTAGAAACCAATAGCGCCGGATAACTTAGATCCAACGACAGTAGAAAATAAAAGATTCACCAGTGATATAAACGAAAGTCCGGGAATATACGGAGAAGTAGCATATTACTGGAGAACAACCGAAGACGATGAATTTAGCAATCAAGACGACAACATGGAACTTTTAGAATTCGATGATGCTACGGTAATAGTCTTTAAAATCTAAACTTTTCTAATTACGTTGTTATGCTTGTTCGAGTATTCTTTTAGATGGAAGGCGCAGAGACCAAAACCGATGACACTTTCGACAATGAAAGCGGGACACTAATGCAATCCGCTGGCGCGGATGCAACGGACGCGGACACAAATAATAAAATTAACGAAGATTCGGAAGAACTCGTGCAGCGTAGATTAATTGAACATTATAATAAACTAGTGCCGTGGATCCATTACATTATTTAACAGATAAACTGCATTTATTTAATAAATGTATATTATTCAGTGAGTAATGTACACACTGCGTGTGTTTACATGGTCAACGATGATACTATTGTAATATAAACACGAAAGAGATTCTCATCCTGAGTTTATACATCCTGACAAACACGAATGTTATTTGAAACAACACTGCAAGTTTCCAAAGAATTACTTCTATTTGCAAAGTCGTATTCCCGTAACTCTTATAAATATTATCATAAATCGTCTACATACATCACTAGTATGCATTTATGAACACATAAGGTATACAATAGTGACATATTTATACATTTATGTAAATAAAAACGTTTTAAAGACATTACATTTAAACGTTTATTCGGGTTCACTTGCGTCGTCAGAATCTAAACTGCTACTATTACTTGTGGTAGAGGTGCTTGAAGTACTGCTGTCCGAGTCGCTCTCCGAATCCGTATCACTGCTGTCGCTTGAACTTGAACTGCTCGATAATCTGCGTAAAATATTAGTAGCGTTTTACTTAATCCCAACAATCTCTATTTCAAGTCGTCTCTATTGTGCGTCTGTGGCCATGCGTAATGTGCAAACATAATGGCAGATTGTTATTGCTAGGTGATTCATTGATAATGAATTTATATTATGTTGGTACTTATAGAATTTCTCAAGGGGTTGTGCATTTCAGTTAGTGTATTACATTAGCAGATTTCAGATAAAGATTTACAATATATGAGAATATTTTATTCATTCGTTGAGGAGCAAACAATTAAGCCTTGTTAGATAAGAGTTATCGATATTCCAAACAGTTCTATTAATATACTTACAAATACTTTAAAGAATGTTTGTCTTTAATGTAGTATATAGTCTTTGGCCTTTAAAATAAAATCATATAACGTAAAGATACGTAATACTTTACAATGAAACCTTAAATTTGAAAGATTTTCAGAACATTTTCTTTCCTCCTAGATACTTACTTATCCCTGTTATTGTCATTAACTATTAATTCATCCATTTGGTCCACCATTTCATGAATAGAATTTTCAATAATCAAATCTTCTTCTTGAACCGAGTAAGCTGCTTGTTCTAATTCCACTAAATCGAATCCCATGTCTTCCTTACATGGCTGAATCTTGAAACAAACGTATGGTTTTAATATTTCATCGAGTACCAATTACCGACAACTATATACTTACATCAGCTATTAATGTATTCAAAGATTCTATCGAGGATTCGTGAACTGTTTGCAACCACACTAGATAATCTTTTATGTATAATTGATTCAGTATATATCGTGGCTCACACGAATTATTAAACAGATTATGAATTTCGCAAAACCGTTTTATGATGTACTTTTTACCTAACGTATAGCAAAACATATCGAAGAGGAAATATTAGAAATTTTTATAAACCAATATTATTTAATACTTACCCAATTTAACAACTTTCTTGACATCTTCGAGAACTTTCAAAGAAAGATTCCAATTTCTAAAAAGAGGGTAACATACCGATCTTCTGAAACATGCTCTTATAACTTCTTCCGCGTCTGCAAACTCCTACAAATGTTACAACGAATGTATGAAATTTTCCGACTAACAGTGAAAGTAGTATTTATTAAAGTATATTACTTACTTCGAACCAGGATAAAGTAGAACTCAATTTATTAATGGTCCAACTGCTTTCAACTGTATTTTCACCCAAAGTTGTTCTATCGTTGTAACAGCTACCGAATAAGATATCGACTAAACTTAAAAGCAATTTATATGTTTCATCGTTATTCAATAAATATTCTTTATTTGGGAGTTCTTTTAGCAAGTCTACTTCTGTTTCATTCAAGGAAATACTTTCTTTGTTAATTGTTTCCCATTCGGCGACATATTTTATGTACGGTTCTATGCACTCTGGCTGCATCAGGTCTGCTAAATAATGTTCTTCGTTGAAGTCTGAAAGCTCTCGCTTCTCTCTTAAACATTTTCTTTCAGATTCCGGCGTTGTATCCGGCATCGGAAGATCTATTATTTCCTTAATCCACGCAGACTACACCAAAACAGAAATGTGCATATAAATTGCGATTTGAAATAAGAAATTGATAGAGAAAAAAACTTCAAATTTGTAAAAAAATGTTTTCAAATAGATACCTCGAATGCCACCAAAGCTCCAGATATTTTATTCGCGAACCCATATTTTGGAGAACTGGTCAGAAGAGGTAAAATGTTTGTAGGATTATTTTGATGCATATACCACTCATCCCCATTTGTACTTTCGTCGTTAACCACAGAATCGTTTTCATTGGATGTTTCGTTAATGTCTTCTGAATTTGCAGATGGATTTCCTAGAATACGAAAAACGTAAAATTAACATTTAAATACTCTCGAGTAAATACATTTATATATGTATATTTACCAATTACTTCAATGTTAGGAATAATATTGTTTTTCTTCTTTGGTGGTGCTAACAATGTAGTTATCATATCTAAGTTTTCAAAGTGTTCTCCTTTGTTTACCTTTGGGAATTTTAAAGAGAAGTCTCCCTTTTCACAGTCGTACGATCCAAACGAAGTATCATTCTCTTCTATTTCACCTGGAAGCTTTAACCTGAAATGAAATGTTTAGTAGACCGAAAAGTACGTGTTGTTTTAGTGAATATTTTACCTTAAATAATATGGTGTAGAATAAAATCTGAAGTCCGTTCCATCAACATAAACTTCCGTATCTTTAATATTAGCATATGGTGCGTAAATAATTATTGTTACTTCTGTGTCAGTTTGAGTTATTTCAAACCGTGGAGTCAACATTTCGATATCGCAGATTTCGTTTCGTTTCGTTTCAAAATCTAATTTTATCCGACATTCAATATTTTACGAAGATTCTCTGTTCAATAAAGATTAAGTAAGATACCGATATAGACATTACGATGTATATACATTAAGAAATATTTCTCGATTATTTATGTACACCGTAAGTACACACACACAATTATTCTGTAAAAACTGAAGTTTTGAAAAATGTATGTTCATTATTCTATTACGATACAAAGATTAGTTTCTTGTAGTACATATTGACGTCTCGTATTTAAGAAACTACATTTCAGAGTTTCAATAAAATCCTTTCGATTTTATCGACTCGTTTCTACGATGCTAGTGGTCTAACTGGACGCGAATGCATGTGTTCTCTCGTAAGATTCGATACATCTATACTGTGTACACTACAGATTTTTAATTCGTCGAAACATGGTCGCGACAAAGTTGTACTACCGCTAAGAGTAGATCAAGCACGTGTAACCTATTATCACAAACGAGGTATAGGATAGACCCCCGTTACCATTTTCGTGTCACGCCCTGTCGTATCGATTTCGGTTGGTTTTGCATCGCAGCGCTACAAGCGATAGGAATTTCAATGAAAAATATCTACCACGGACTTCAACTACGTACAGACTGAAACTGTTCTATGTAGTTTCTTCACGATAGGCGAAAGAAAAAAATATCGTACTTCGGAGCAATCAATTTATTACAAATGTTACAAACAAGTACTAATATACACGCTATGTCCGAAATAAATTCATTATTGTTACAAACATGTTGCATCCGTCCTTTCGATAACTCTTGACCAACAATTGTTTGAAAAACTTGTCAGAATTTTCAAAAGGAAAAGAAAAATACTTGTACGTAATGTATAAATAATTCGGATTAGTCGAGCTCTAACAATAATATATATATATATATATGTATGAATGTACAATGCGCAACAAACACGCGCATCATTATCACGCAAACTGGATGGAAAGAAGAATAAAAATAAAATGACGATACAGAGCAGTTGTTCAATGACCATTTCAATTTATATACGTTAATTCGTTCGTTTCATATGTTGTACATATTTATCAATCGTTCACGCGACGTTGAGCGATTATGAACACTCTATGGAACAAACGACGTGTAATGGTCTAGAAAAATGATATGGAAATAATATGTAACTCGAGAAACAAACAAAGTGTTCAACAATGATGACAACATTATATTTTGAAATATATTTCAATGTTTTAAACAATACTAAAGTCATTCCGAGCTGCTTAACGTCGAACAAGTTCTAGGAGGAAGACAGTGAGCGAAACTGCGAGTGAAAATATCGAGTTTACCGCAACATTCGACGAGTATACAGCTGAATTTCATCGCGGAATCCTACTAAGCTTTATTGTCCTTATTAAACTTATTGTATTTTAGATTTTTCGTACACCTAGTTTGTCATATTTCATTCATTATGTAAACAAAATTACCAAATACTAACTTATTCGCTTAAACGATTAATCGAAATATTTCAAACATGCATCAACGACATGCCGACTCCTTGTGAACCCCTTTAAAACCGGTTATCCTAAGTTTGGAGAAGAGAATCTCCATAAATGAACCGCCCCTATCGGTTTAACATTTCCAAATTGTCCTCTCGTTTTCTGGCTGTTATATGTACGCTGTTTTGCTTTTCGATGCACCATGCCAGGAAGCATCTTCTGAGATTTATCTGTGGTCGCTGGTCGAATAAAATAAATGCTAGAAATGTTCAGACACGCTTTACGCGAAAACAATATCGAAACAATGAATCGTTGTAGGAAGAAGCGTGGTCACACTGAAGTGATTCTTCCGTTTCTGTCTCTATTGTTGTTCGAGTGTTATTCGGTGTAACTAATCCGAACGCGCAACATATAAAGCTAGAAGAGAGAAGGAAATGAAACATACTGTACGTTCTAAAATTAATAAGACAGTCGGATAAACTAACCGTAGATAATGAAAAATACATTAGAAGTTAAACGCGTTTGCGAGCATTGCATACTGCTCGTTATTTATTTCAGCGAAACACCCGATAAAGGGGAATCGCTCGAGAAAGATTTTCTGCAAAGTTTTCATACGAAAGAACGGGGTTCGCGCGATATTATATGTACGCGCAACCACGTACATACGCGATCGAGTAAAATACGTTAGAGAACAGCATCTCCGTTTCACAACGATATCGACTGTACATAGATGGACAGATGCCGAACGTAGAAATTCGAAGCGGTAAACCGAGTTTGAATGTCAAGAGAGTACGCGCGGCATGTTAACGGGTAAACGGGATGCTGATCTTCTTTACGATCTTCCAGACCATCGCAATTGCACGGAACTAATGTGCGTTTTCGCCTCTCGATGGAAAGTTAAAGTTGAAACGCAACCACCGATCGTGTTCCGTGCAATCGTGCTGGGATACGAGCAGGTGGTATTATACCCGGCCGTGTATGAGATTTCAACAGATTTCCAGAGATTCGATAAAGAAACATTATACACTTACCATGCTAGATAATTACCTTTTTCTAAACATCGTAACCGTTCGAACAGAGAAGCAACTATTCTTGAACCGATCGATATTCCGGGTGAATCAACTTTTCCTCGTCCCCAAATATGGATCCGTCATCCGACAATTCGTTTGGATCGATCCTTACCTCGTGTTTCTTCTGATCCCGGACCTTTTTGTGCGATCGCTTGATAGACGTCTCTCGTAACAATCGAATGTATTTCTTTGTTTTCAAGCAATTCGGCGGAGTAACGACAGCTTGCATTCTCATCTCTGCGCTCGTATCGATCGCGGTTTCTTTATCCGCGGGGACACAACTCGAACCTTGTCGGTTGTCGTCCCCGCGAAACATACGGTCGGTACCTATATCGTTCTCATCGGAATCCGAGAGTTCGAATTTCTCGAGCGACTCGTTTCGAGCCTCAGCGGAGGAGTTCTGCCATCCTCTCTCCTTGTAAGCATTATTTCTGACCGAGTCGAGACTTTTCCGCGCATTGTTTCCGCATTTATTCTTCTTGTGAGACTTCTTGATGGAATCTAAATTCAAAACCAATTCCGCCGTTGACATATTTCTAGGCGTCGACCTGCCAGTTCTGTCGTCCGAAGCGTTATCCTGTACGTCGGATATTTCCGATTCGTTGTTCGCAGAACGATTTTCATTGGATCGTTCGTAATGTTCGTGGAAAGAGAGAACCGGCGTTAAACATCTCGACGAACCGGCGTTGGCGATACCTTCCGCGGAATATTCATCCATTGCACCAGACGGTAGATCGTAACAGTGCAAATATTCTTTGGTGCTCGAAGCGGTTAACCACCGCTTTCTTTTCAAAGGCGTGAAAATTTTAAACTCTTCCTGAAACATGTCCAATTCTTGCAATTCCGAGTCACACGATACACTCGTATCGCGTTCCGAGGATTCGTTCAACGGTATTTTTCTTTTGCTCGGAGACAATTTGTCCAAAGAATCGTTCAGCGAACAGTTCGAATCGCGAAAATTCAATGCCACCTCCGCTTCGGTGGCCAACTCTGAGAGAACTTTTCCATTCTCTGTCGAATCAGGTTCGGGTTCGGATTCGGATTCGGATTCGGATTCGGATTCGGATCCGGATCCAGATCCGTTCCTCGCCGAATCCATTTCTTTGTTGAAGTACTCTTGTCGTTTCAAGAAACCGGATAATATGCTGGTATGCTTGTCCTTTTTGTGAGACTTTTTCACAGAACTGAACTGCGAGAGCAACAGCCGACTGGAATTCACCTTCTCGGGAGTGCATGCTCGTTCCGAATTCGATGCGTCAGGATGATCTTGTTGCTCCGATGAGAATTTACCGTCTGGAACGTTTTCGTTGCGCCGAAAGCCTTCTTCGTCCTTTCCATTTCCATCTTCTGTCGCTTCTAATTTACGATGCAGAACTTTCGGACTAAGAAATTTCGTCTTATTTGCCTCTTTGTTCTTCTTGTGAGACTTTTTGATCGAGTTTCCCACGACTCTTTGCAACAGATCTGTACGATTTTCCGGAGTAACGGGCTTTTCGGACTCATCCAATAGAACATTCGCCGATAAATCCGGTGTCACGGATCTGTCGTCGGACTTCGATGAAAGATCCTTGCGAGACAAATGATTCGCGTTAATGTTTTCTTCTGATATCACTTTGATGTTGCATTCGTGAAATTTCGATAAAACAACGTCGCAATTGGCCATACCGCTCGATACTTCCTCGGATTTTAATTCCTCCGCGTAGTCGAACAACGAACCAGTGTCCGAAGCATCATCTTTCGAATTGCACAATGGTAATTCCCTCAACGGCGAATCCCTCTCGGAGCATTGTCCCGCCTGATCGGAGTCTGGACGTTTCTTTTCGCAACTCAATACGAATTTTCTCGTATCCTCGACTGTACCCGGCTCGTCCTGAAAACTATTTGCCAATTGCATCGAACAACGAGCACTCCGCCTCGATGATCTTTCCTGTGTAACATATCGTGTAGTTGGAAACTTGTCGAAATTAATCAGCTAAATTAATAAGATAATGAAACTGCAACATTGTTACGTTCACTTACCTTTTTATGACTTCGTTTGATAGCGCTCATACTTTCAGGAACGATACAAATTACATTTTCTGGCGTTTCCGGTCTATCGTAATCATCTTCGCGAAATTCATGAAATAAATTTCTCGATGTATTCGTTACAGAATTATCGAAACATTTCAATGACTGCGAATTAGGTGTTGTTGCAGTAATATAAACAATGTCGTCGATGGTTTCTTTCAGCCGACTACGCGATAATGGCATAGAACCGACGGAATGCAACAATTTTGTACTTAACTTTGCGTTCGGTGTAGAATAGTGTAACGTTTTCTGTTCTTTCACGCGTCGTCGCAACGGCGTTTCATTTTGATTTTCATCGATAGACTCGGACGAACTAAACACGACACTGCTATTAGCAGAATCGCTAATGTCTTTGATTAAGTTTGAACATTTGCTGGGAGCAGACAAAGTCGAACTAAAATTCAGACCGAAAGCTTTTTGTATACTTTTCTTTGCGGATGAAAATCTTTTCGGGCTCGGAGTCAAATTGAAATTTAGCGATTTCTTTAGTTTTGTTTTCCCAAAATACAACGGACTTGTGTGAAAATTTAAAGCTTTCATTATTTTAGAAGATCTCGACATATGTTTGCTTTCTTCGAACGAACTGTTTTCCGAACTGGAGCCACAATTATTTACATCGGAATTTAACGATCGGCTCATATTGTATCGAACGAAACGTTTGTTCCTACGCGATACAGATCTACTATAGGAGACATATTTATTCTTCATTAAAAATTTGTTCTTTTCCAATGGACTCCAAAGAACGTAATGCTTCTGTTCCATTTCCGTACCGCAAACACTGTAATTCCCCTTCATTTTCTCATTATTCATTCTCATAGCTGTTGCGCGATCGTCGAACATGCTTTTACTCGCTATCTTATAAATGCAAAATGTACTATGTAAACATGTATATACGAATGCATATGCGACCTATAAATTAGGTATGCTTAAAATATCGTCCCTCTATTACGCGAAAGTAGAAGACTCTTGATTATTTGAAAATATCAATGTAAATAATTGGATTCAGAATGTATTCCATCACATGCTTCGAGGATATCGAATGTACAAACGTCGAGTCGATATTTCTCCAAAATACGTATGATTTTCAATGGTAGGATACTGAAAAAGAATAAAAGAAGTACATTACAATTTGTTAATATTTCTCTTATAATTTACTTATCGTTTGCTTAAAAATATAATAAAACTGGATGGCAATTTAATACATAAAAGTTCATATTTTCGTACACTTAACAGTGTAACATTTCAATATCGAATGAAATTCGATTAAATATTACGTTCGTGAACATACAGTTGTACACTTATGCATATGTTTGTGGTATAACAATATAAAATGTACAACACACAGTTCACTCTGCACGTACTATAGACGCGACTTTTAACATTTACGCAAATCGTTTACACGCATTTGTTTGTGGTACGTACAAGCTAAATATCGTTAACTATATAGTAAAAGAAATATAATGTTATTTACTTACAAATTTGCGATCAATTCTTTGCGGGTACCGACAGCTAGTCACCCTAATCGCAAGTAAAACTCAAACACGAGTCATCGAACATTGGAGGCTTTCTGTTGTCATTCTTTTTTCTCGATTTACACGTAATCTATATCTGATATGGACGTAATGTATACATATATATGTATATATACACATATACAGAGAGCACAGTCGCACGCACAGGGGTAAAAACGAGTATATGCAGATTAAAATAAAAGAATATCAATTGTTAAACTGTACGAAAATAAATTGGAACACGCATATTGAAAACTTCTGCGCAACATAGCATGGCTTCTTCACACGGCTTTTACGAGCGTTCCGACACGTTGCTTCGAAACCCTTTTATCCTTCGATCGAATAGACCATAGATGGCGTAATAGGCTTCCGAGGAAACGCCTGAAAAACCATTGATTCGTTTATTAAAATATTGAAATACACATTAAATATGGGTAAATTACAGGTAGAAATCATCAAAGCTATTGAAAAATGCTCAATATTTATCGTCGCATAGATGCCAATAATCGATTTAGGAAAATCACGCTTATTTTATTCGATATAAGTGATTAACAAAATATTATTCCAGCATTATTCGAATAATTAAATAATGTATACATCGAAAATTGCAATAAGTAAATATTCATTGATTACGTTTGATCATTCGAATGTCGTAAATCTGAAGTGTTTGAGACGAAGCGTGAATAATCACTGCGATCGTATGTAGGTAGGTGCGTGCTATCTTACGTTCTCGTGGTTCTCAGGTAGTTACATGTCGTGTACGTTTTGCCGCCTAATAATCTACTTATATGTATGGAAATACTTCTTTCTAAAGGGAAACTATCTCGATAAAAAGTATCAGCAAGTAATGAATAAGCTTGTAGAGTCGGTTATAAGAAAAGTAGGTTGTATGCTTTCGATAAGTTTCAGTTACAGAGAAAATAAACAATGGGGAAGAAATTACTTGTACATGCGTATTTAAGTTGACTTCATCGAGTATAATCTTATTTCAGTATCTAAATCCAAGAATAGAGGGTACGACTAACGAAAATTTCTATACGCAATTAAGAATCCTAAATGAACTAATCAAGTTACTTTGTTATCTTATCGAAAATAAAAAAAAACACTCGTTAGAAAGGCAAACACACAGAGATGCGAAGTTAGAAAATTTTACGAGAATTATGGAGGAAAATGTAGCCAATGTACAACGTACGTTCTTCTAGAAACAATTTACGTTTGTAATTCTTAATGATTCATGATGAATAAATTTATATCTATTTATTAAATTCTGTACAAGTACTTTTGATGCTTCAATACTAAAACGGTTATTGTACTTTTTTCAACTAGAATGGACAGTTATGCTTCAAGAACAAAGATCATATTTTATCAACTTTCAGAGAAAGATCGAATTGGAGTCGAAGGCAATGGAGATCCTAAAAACAAATACCTATAAAAACTTGGAACACGTATTAACGATACAAGCGTAAGCGATATTTGTTATTTTTCCTTGATATCATTTATTATTGCTTCCATTGAAATGTTCACCCATTCGATTATGTATTTATCGGTTAATGATTTTATGGCCGAAATGAAAATATGCGTAGGAAGTAAAGATTCGAATGAAAACATTCTAGCAGGGAATTCTCGTCAAAAGTATTAAGTAAAAATTACAAATGCAATATTAAAAGGAGATCTTTACAAAAGGAGGCAGATTTGCATAAATCTCATTTAAAATTTACAAATAAAATATACAATTTACAAGAAAGTAATCTACGTAGCGTACAGTAAGTGACAATTTATCATAGATGCAACGACTTCTGTTTTAAACGCAACTGTTAGATTTTTTAATGATGTAATCTAACTATACAGTTCTACGGTGAAAAAACAATGTCTGGACCAACTGAGAATGTACGATAAAACTATTAAAATGCTTTATACCTGTGAAATAGCTCTTTTGAGAGATAAAGAGGGCCTTGAAAAAGATTATGCTATTATTCAGGTGTGTCTTATTAGCTTTGTTCGCTTTTCTTCCATTATAGTTCCATCCCGATTCTCTCTACTTTCCTTCGTCGATAGGAAAAGTGAAATATTTTCCAATGTTATTGCCATTCCCATTTACACGTTATTTTACAGGATCAGCTTTTCGAACAACTTATTTTGTATAATCAGTTGAAAGAAGAACGGGAAACGAATGCAATGAGAGCTTCTTTAGCAAAGCTAGAACATTTTCGTTTAAATCGTGCCGCAAAAATTATCCAGCAGAGTTGGAGATCTTACTGTCAACGTGCATTCTCAAGGAGAAAAAAAGGCAGAAAATAATACGTTTACGCGGCTTTCGTGTTCCAAACTTAATGTACTCTTAGTATATATATAGTTGTCAATTATGTTACATCAATTGTGATCATTTATACGATAGTATAGAAAGATAATGACGTAATTTCCGTCGCCTAGAGGTTCTAGAAGAAAGCCGCCGCCTGTTTGATCGTAACCATGTCGCAGCATGAAAAATGACATCGCTCGAGACATTTACAGCCGTCTACCGTCGCGGTATCGTTTCCGATGTTGCGACATTGTCGCGACCGAGCAGGTTAGCGACTTTCCTTTCGGACCTTTAACGAGAGGATAACTCTCTATTAGGCACGGATATATTATATACATTATTCGGTATTATGCTGTCACGACTTGATAATTATTTTTCAATGAATAATTACTACGATGCGACTGCATCGATCGATTTCAGCTTTCTGACTTTTTCACCGTGTATGGTCTTGATTTCGACTGTACTAACTGTACATGTACTCGCGTTTGATTTTACATTTAAGAGAATTCACGCCTTTCTTTGATATCCATTGAACGTGCACGCGTTATTATTACGTGTTGTTGTTGCAATATTATTATTTATTCTTTCAAAGATATACACTTGAAATAACGTGAATACATTAGCTCGAAGAACTACAATGAAACGACTGCAACGAGGGAAGAATTGCAGTGAAATGAAACATGTAATGGAAAGAATGGAATAGGAATAGGAATGGGAATGGGAATGGGAATGGGAATGGGAATGGGAATGGGAATGGGAATGGGAATGGGAATGAGAATGGGAATGGGACAGCACAGCAGAGTCAGAGAGGGGTAGTAAATTGTGACCGAGACTTACGGAGCGGGTGACTAGTAGCCGCAAGAGGGTGAACCCGACGCATGCTCTAAAACATTTTCCCGGGGTAATTTCTTCGGTGAGGTAAACCTGGCAGACCATTCAATCGTTACGAGGCGTATCGTTACGGTGATCGGACGTGTTCCAAACTGCACTATGGAACAGTTGTATCCATTGTTGTCACTGGTTCGTAGTATGATATTGTTTCCCGCAGAAGTAAGTAACATCGTTAATTCTGTCGTTCGATGTGTATTTAAATGGTAATGTGGAATTCATGAAAAAGGGCAATAGTATACGTATACAGACAACTGCCAACGGAACAAGTTGTTGAGAGAATCGGAAATGAACGGAATTTCGAAATTCGTTGGAATAGAATCGTTGAACGTAAGTCGGATTCGAAGCGATTAGAATTGAATCGAATGTTGGAGAATCGAGTGCAACAGAGAACATTCGATAGGCAATTATGGTTAGGTGAACGTTCTACCCGATAAGAGACGTGACGGTCATCCGGGTGCACGCTGACATCGAATAAACGAAACCCAGGCTGCTCTGTGAAACGAATGCGCACCACCTGTAGCTCGATATCTACGCTTGAAAGGTCAACCGCCCCGCTGCCCGCGAATTTCTCTGCGAATGTAAGTCAGATAATCCTTGCTTTCGATTTCATTGTTGCGGAATCTGCTAGTTCTCTAGAATCCTTTACGCGTCCTTTCGGAGTTTTGCACACTCTTTAGAATTATGGGTGCAGAGGGTCACGAGGATGATCAAATTTTCCTTCTCAAAACACGTAACGATGTAGATAATTAAAAGATCAAACTGACGGATGTGTCGTATGCATTTGCGATCGACGCGTATGTATATTATAGAATTTATTATTGAGAAATACCGTTACAGTTGTCGAGAGTAAAGAGGTAAAAGGGTAAAAAGGTAAGAGATTATTGTACACAGAATCCACATGTACGTACGTAGAGATAGTTTGTTTTCAGAAAAACCAAAACTCTTGTTGCCGCCGATAGTAATCGTTATCGGAGTTGATTGCGCGTCGATTCTGGTGGCAATTCGAATTATTTGATTTTCTCTCTGTCCGCATGTATGACCCAGAGAAAAGGCGAAAGAAAGAAAAAGAAGAAGAAGGAGAAGGAAAATAAAGCAAAGAATAGAAGAGAGAAGAGAATAAACAGATGAAAGGAGAAGTGTGGAAGATAAGAAGAGAGCACGTTAACATTCAAATCTGAATCGCTGTTGACACACATTTTCTTATCGAAACGTTGACGATCAGATTTCTCCTGAAATGAAATTCTTTTGAAGAAGCATGTTCACTCGGAATTTCATTGAAACGTAAAGACGCGTTTCGCTGGTACGCGATACAAAGAATCGCTTTTCAATCGAAAACATTTCATTTGAACTGTTGAAACGTTAACGATGACTGAGGGGACGACGAACAAATGGAGTATCGAGGAACGGGAGAAAATGTTGACCATCGGAACGTTGGATCAGAGGAAAGAAGCTTTTAAAGATGACGAGGAATTGATGAGAGAAACGACCAAGTTTGTTACCGAAGTGATAGAAACAGCGACTACGGAGGCCTCCAAGCGAAAAGCGGATTCAGAGGTGAACGAATTACGCGTATAGTATTCGATTTATCGGTGCATTCGAAAGATTTTCATTCTAATCATGATTTTCACCGTTTCGCTTCGTTTCGTGTTTCAGAGAACCGGCACTCTCAACGAAGGTAAGCAAAACCTTTTAAACCACTTGAAATGTTTCTGTTACTCGATGCTTTCCGAAGACTTCGGATGCCTCTTTTAATCGTGTTCTCGTACCTTTCGAGAGAGAATTCTTGATCGAGCGAATAAATGAAATGCCCGCGTATTTGCCTAGGAACCAAACTAAAAGGTACCGATAGTATCGTTGGCTGGAATCATCGTGCACGTGGATTCTGCAATCGCATATTCAACGCGCTCTGCCCATGCTTCAACAGCAATGGTAAATCGTAGAGCGTTTCGAAATGCAATTTCGCGCGCAATGCTACCATATATCACTTTCGAATATCGTAGCTTTGCACCGCTCTCTTATCAACCAAGCTCGTTTCCCAACATGATCGTTAAACAGACCACATACGCCTCGTGTACATGTACATTTGTAAACGATAGCTTCGTGTTCGAGGACGTTTTTAGTTGAAATATAGTAGACGATAGACGAGTATGCTTGTTCCTAATTCAAATTCTGACCAAAGATTCGATGAAAGACACAATAATCGTAACGTCCTCGTTCATTAATGTTACGGAGCGGTTCAAGCATGTAGTCGTATACATACTTCATATATCGTTTAATTATTATCGCCTTGTATCCTTTTAGTGTATCCTGTAGCAACTGTGACTGAACGATTGAATGGGTAACCATGAAATCACCTAGCATGCTTAACCAACTATTTCTCATTGGAAACTATTTTCTTAATTAGCCTCATTTCGAAATGTACACCAAGTCCCCATGCGGTGGATGCGATTCCTTATCGAGGTGTGCGGTTCTTGACACTCGATAACTGGAAGCAACAAAAACAGCATGGGATTCGATCAGCAATCACAATTCCTTTATCAGTGATACACCGTTAGTTCTTAATGGATATACATATTTCCGAAATGTAAATATTCAATGCATATATAATATTTACTACTTGATACGAGTATCATTTTAATATCAGGACGTTTATTCGAGAAACGACCACACGTGTATCGTGTATAGGCTTAACAGTCGGTTAATATACGCACAACTATATTTACCGTGTCCGCACTTTTATATATCTCTTTAAGACATAACATGGCACAACATGACACAACATAATGTAACATGACATAGCATAGCATTAGCATTAGCATTGGCATTAGCATAGCATAGCATTAGCATTGGCATTGGCATTGGCATTGGCATTAGCATAGCATAGCATAGCATAGCATAGCATAGCATAGCATAGCATAGCATAGCATAGCATAGTATTACGTACCGAGTAATGAATATCACGCGGTACGATAACAGATTCTCCCATTGACACTATTTTCGATGGTGTTTCACCATGCGTTTTGTGTGTGTTTTCCATGCGTCCATGTATAAAGCCGAAATACCATTGTTTATGTAGACACGTACATCGCCTGTTGTCTGTAACACGTTAACGTGGACATTATCGTGAATGTGAATTGAATCAGATTGTTTCGAGACGTAGTGACATTTTGCACGTTGCAACTCGTAGGAATAATGAACGTTCAAAATCTATTCTACCAGTATCTCTATTCTTTTCGTAGAATTATTCGCCTGGACCCCGTACCGGCATCGCTACACGAGACCTTAATCGGTCGCTGCCTTCCTGAATTGTCGTATATCGCTGAACAACTACAGATCCGATTAATAATCCGATAAAAAGCTTAATAGTATTTTCCGTACCAAGTAACGAGGCTCGCAAGCTTACAATTCGCGAGTCGCGACGTTACGTTACACACTATTGCATTTCAATGCGATATCGTAGATAAACACTGATATTTATTGTACATATTTTCAACGTACACGATTACCAATCGATTCGACAAGTCTAGTCACTTTAACGGTAG